AATGTCCCATGGGCACTTGAGAAGAATGTGAATTCTGTAGTTTTGGGTCGTAATTCTCTGTAGATACCTATTAAATCCATTTGGTCTAGTGTTTCATTTAGAGTCTCTGTTTCCTTGCTAATTTTTTGTCCAGAGGATCTATCCAGTGATGTCAGCGGTTGTTGAAGTCCCCTGCTATGATGGTATTGCTATCGATTTCTCCTTTGAAGTCCTCCAGAAGATTTTTAATATATTTTGGTGCTCCTATATTGGATGCATATATGTTTATCAAGGTTATATCTTCCTGTTGGATAGATCCTTTCAATATTATGTAGTGGCCTTCTTTGTCTCTAGTTATGGCCTTCATTTTGAAATCTATTTTATCAGATATGAGTATTGTTACCCCAGCTTTTTTTTTCCCTTTTCATTTACTTGGAAGATTTTTTTTCATCCCTTCACTTTCAACCTATGTGAGTCTTTTATGGTGAGGTGGGTCTCTTGTAAACAACATATATATGAGTCATGCTTTCTTATCCAATCAGCTACTCTGTGTCTTTTTATAGGAGCATTCAATCCATTTACATTTAAGGTGATTATTGATGTGCACTTATTTATTGCCATTTTTGTTTAGTTTGGTTATATTTTTCTTCCTATTTCTTCTACCTATTACAGCAGTCCTTTTAACATTTCTTGTAGTGGCTGGTTTGGTGCTAATGTATTCCCTTAGTCTTTTTTTGTCTGGGAAGCTCTTTATTTGACCTTCTATTTTGAATGATAGCCTTGCTGGGTAGAGTAGTCTTGGATTTAGATCCTTGTTTTTCATGATCTTGATTACCTCATGCCATTCCCTTCTGGTCTGTAGTGTTTCTGTTGAGAAGTCAAATGATAGCCTTATGGGGGTTCCTTTGTAGATAACCTGTTGCTTATCTCTTGCTGCTTTTAGGATTCTCTCTTTGTCTTATATTTTGACATTTTAATTACTGTGTCTTGGTATGGGCCTGTTTGGATTCTTCTTACTTGGGGTTCTCTGTGCTTCTTGAACTTGAATGCCGTCTTCCTTCACCAAATTAGGGAAATTTTCTGTCACTATTTCTTCGAATATATTCTCTAACCCTTGCTCATTTTCTTCTTCGGGAACTTTTATGATGCGAATATTATTACATTTCCAGTTGTCCCACAGTTCTCTTAAGCTGTCTTCCTGTTTTTTTATTGTTTTTTTCTTTTGGTTTTCTGATTCGTTGATTTTTTTCCTACCCTGTCTTCTAATTCACTGATCCGGTCCTCAGCTTCCTCTACTCTGCTGTTTAGACCTTCCAACATGTTTTTTATTTCTGATATGTCATTCTTCATTTCTTCTTGGTGGTTTTTAATTTCCAGTTGGTTGATTTTCAGCCTTTCTTTGTCTTTACTCATGGTGTTGATGTCCTTACTCATGCTGTTGAACTTCCTCAAGATCATGGCTCTGAATTCTAGCTCTGTTAACCTGCTCTACTGCTCCTCATTTATCTAATCTTCAGTAGAGGTCTCTCGTTCTTTCATTCAGCATTTGTTTCTTTGTTTTCCCATTTTGGCTATCACAGTGGGCTTTGGAGCCTGCCAAATTTTCCCTGTGGGTGTTGGAATTCTGCTATTTGTGGCTCCCTCTCCTGGGTTTGGATGAGCATGGGAGGACCCACGTTAAACACCACTGTCAAGTCTTACTTTCCTGGGCAGAGTTGCAAGCCCAGGAATGGTTCAGTTATCCTCTAGCTTTTTGCCTGGAGGCCATTAGTCACAGTTACTTGAAGAGCCTTGAGTTCTCAGTTGAATCCTTTCTATATGTTTTTATAAAGACTATTTATTGTCCGGCCAGTGTGGCTCGGTGGTTAAGTGTCGACCCATGCACCAAGACGTCACCGGTTCAATTCCTGATCAGTACACATGCCCAGGTTGTGGGCCCAATCCCCAGTCGGGAGCATGCAGGAGGTGGCCAGTCAATGTTCTCTCTCATCGATCTCTCTCTCTCTCTCTCTCTCTCTCTCTGTCTCTCCCTCTCACTTCCTCTCTCTCTAAAATCAATAAAGGAAAAAAAAAAAATTTTAAGACTATTTACTGAATCTAAAATGTCAAAGATTGTAAGGCACAGTATTACTTCATATACCACAATGAAGGAAAGAAAATGTCACCAAATAAAATCTAAAAGCGAATTTTGATTTCAGAGAAGTAAAGTGTGTGCATTACATATGCTAATACATTTTTGTTAACTATCAGACTTAGATATATTTTGTTTTATGTATTTCTACTATATTAATTGAATTAACTACAACAAATATTTATTGAATGACTACCTCATAATAAGTTTAATGAATAATAGAATAGTGATTAAGATGTGGTCTATTGCTCTTAAAGAACTATAGAGGAAGGCATATGTGTGCAGACATTGCTAAAATAAACTGTTTGTTAAAGCAATGAAATTAAATTCCACAAACTACAGTTAATAAATATGTTAAAGATAATACTAAATTAATGACAGTTGATGGTTTTGTAAAAGTTATAAATTACCAACTTCAAAAACCATCTATTGTTAATTTTTTATTCTTTCATTGTTAGTGGTGGTTGGGGGTTATTGAGTAAGAGGGAGAAATGAAATATTTATTTTGGAGTACAAGTGTATGGTGTTTTTAAAGGAGAGAATAGAATTTATTTTATTTTATATTGTCAATCCTCACCTGAGGATATTTTTCCATTGATTTTTAGATAGGGAGGGGGAGGGAAAGGGAGATGGGGGGAGAGAGAGAGAGAGAGAGAGAGAGAGAGAGAGAGAGAGAGACATTGATGTGTTGCATCAGTTGGTTATTTCCCACATGACCCTGAATGGGGCTGGGGATCAAACTCGCAACCCAAGACCATGCTCTTGTTCAGGAATCAAACCTGAGACCCCTCAGTCCACAGACTGACACTCTAAAAGCTGAGCCAGACTAGCCAGGGCTAGAGTTTATTTTAAAGACATTGCTCTTGCTCAGATATTTTGAGTACTAATTTCCTGTAAATTAGTTAAACTAACATCTACCGAGTAGCCAAATTAGATAACCTAAGAATTCTCTTTAAATGCTTCTTCTCCCTTAACCCTTAAGTGTAATGATGCTAACAGCTATTGAACATTTACTGTGTGTCATGCATCTTTCTGAGTACTTTATATGTATTATCTCATTTAATCCTTAGATCAGCGTTCTATGTTAAAGTACCATTTTAATCTTCATGTGCAGATTAGGAAACTGAGGTGTAGAGAAGTTAAACATTTGGCCCAAGATTGAACCAAAGAAGTCTTTTCTTAAGCCTTTTATAAATACTGTAATATCTTTATTTTTTTAGGTTAAATTCCAGCAATGTAGTAAAAATTCTTTGTTTTTAATAAAGTTTACTTTATAAAACCCTGCTTTTTTTGTTTGTAAAAATTATGTATTTAAGTGTATATATTTCCATTTTTCCTATGTTGATTTTGTTTTATTGATAAAATTAAAATTTTATATAGCTTTGTATTTTTCTCACTTAGCCTATCATGACTTTTACAATATAATTTTTTTTTAATCTTTACCTGAGGATATTTTTCCATTTATCTTCAGATAGAGTGGGCGCCAGAGAGAGGGGGTGGGGAGAAAGAGAAACATTGATGTGAGAGGGATACATTGACTGCTTGCCTCCTGCACAACCCTGACCAGGGCTGGGGAACGAACTCTAACCGAGGTAGTGCCCTTGACCAGAATCGAACCCACAACTCTTTGATCTGCGGGCCAATGCTCTAACCAGTGAGCAAAACCGGCCAGGGTGACAATATAACTTTGAATGACTATATAATATTACAACATATGATTGTCGTTTAATGAGTTTTTTACTAGTTTTGGATATTTATTCAACAAGCATTTTGTTTTTAAAGAATAGTTTATTGGTTTTTAGAGAGAAAGGAAGGGAGAGAAACATCATCCATTGGCTACCTCCTGTGCATGCACATACATACACACACACACACACACCACTGGGATGGAGTCTGAAACCTGGGTATGTGCCCTGACCAGAGTCAAACCAGTGACCCCCTCAGTGCATGGGATGACACCCAGCCAATTGAGCCACACCAGCCAGAGCTCAACAAGTATTTTTCATACCTGCTCTGTGCCAGACACTGCTATAGGCATGGACAGAGGGAAGAAATCAGTCAAAGTCTCTGCCCTCATGGAGCTCACATTCTAGTTGACATAGGGAGACAAACAATTTTTTATACAATGGAGAAAAACCAGAGGAACGTGGATAGAAAGTGCTGGGGAAGGGGAAAGATTAATATTTTATAAAGAATGGTAAACAGAAGCCTCTGTGAGCAGGTGACATTAGACCTGAGACAGGGAGTAAGCTGTGTAGATATCTGAAGGAAAAGTATTCCAGGCAGTGGAACCAGAAGTAAAAAGTCCTGAGGCAGGATCATGCTTGATGTATTACAGGAACAGGGGGAAGGACAGTGTGTGGCTGGAGATGACTGAGCAAGAGGGAGACTGAACAAGAATCAAAGGGGTAGGAGTTGGGGAACCCAGTTTACATTATGGCTTTGTTAACCACTGTCAGGACTTCTGTGTTTTCTCTGAGTGACATAGGGTGACATTGGAAGGGTTTGAGCAGATGAATGACATGATGTGACGTAATGTTAAAAGGTTCATTCTTTACAATAATCCAGGATTAACATGGTGTTATGGGCCAAGTGGATATATTTTGAAGGTAGAACTAGCATATGTCCTGATGGATTCCTGATTGATCCTGATGGATGTGAGGAAAAGAGAGGTAACAAGGACAAAATTTTTGATAAGCGATGTTGAAGTGACGATCTTGCCAATAATCTGTGTGTGTATCTTTACTTCTTTTAGTATAGATTTTTATAATTACTGACCCAAGAACATGAACATTTTAAGGCTCTTGACATATACTGTTAAATTGCTTTTCAAGAAGTCATATCAATTTATATTTCTACTAATATATATGTGTACTTTCTTGCCCTTCAGAGAACTTCACGTGTTTGAAATGTAAAAAAATGGTGTTTCCTTGTTTTCTTTTTAAATAAGGATGGCTGCCATTATCAAGTATATATTTTGCTTACAGAAAGTGCATAATTTGCAGACATGTTGTAAGTGCTTTATATACATTATCTCATTTTGTCTAGATATAACATTCCTATAAGATAGTTACTATCCTAAGTATATAAAGAAGGAACTTGAGGCTCAGAAAAGTAAAAAGTAAGTCAAAAAGATATTAAGTGGCAGATCCAGGATATGAACTGAGGTCACACTTCACTGGTTACCTTTAAATCTGAATATAACCACTTTTCTTTGATTATTGTTAAGCTTTATTAGTTCACTGACCACATTCTTCTGTGAATTGTCTGTAATCATTGGCCATTTTTTATTATGATGTAGTATTTTCTTTTGACTTACAAAAGGTTTTACTTTTTTATTAACTGTATTAGTCCTTTTTCCTTCGTTGCAAATATTTTCTTCGGTTTTTCTTTTTTTTCTTAATTTTATGTATGTATGTATATGTGTATGTATGTATGTGTGTATGTATTTATGTATGTATGTATGTTACAGATGTCCCTCTTTTTCCCTCATTGAAACCCTCCTCCCCACTCCTGTCTCCCTCCTACAGTATTGTTGTCTGTGTCCATTGGTTATGCATATATGCATATAAGTTCTTTGGTTTATTCTTCTGTTTTTGTTTTGCCTTTCAGTTTTGTTCATAATTTTTATATGCAGTAGTATGAATTTTAAGAAGGTAGTAAAATCACTAAAAATTTGCAATTCTCAAAAATCCAAATAGGCTAATTATATATATAAATTTAAATATACTATTTAAATTTACATTTTTAAGTGAGATTTTTTTCCTTAAAATTTTGTTGGTGAATTGTTTGTTTGTGTGAGAATTATTACCCTGTTTTTCTAATGTTATGAATTAATGTTGACTAGAATCTATTAAGTAGAATACATTTCTAAGATATTAAAATTACAGAAAGGAAAATAGAATGATTTGGGAAAGTTAGATTAAAAATTACCTGCTAGTTGTAAGAAAGAAAGATCTCTTACCCTTTGCGACTATGTGGAGGAACTTGAAGGTTATTTATTATACTAAGTGAAATAAGCCAGTCAGAGAAAGACATGTATCACATGATCTCACTTATTTGTAGAATATAATAAACAAAGTAAGCTGATGAACAAAATAGATCCAGAGACATGGAAGTAGGGAACAGACTGCCAAACTTCAGAGGGAAGTGTGGTAGGGGGGCAGTAAGAGATAAACCAAAGAACTTACATGCATATGTACAGCGGGGGGGGGGGGGGGGGGTGTCTATGGGGTGAAAAAGGAGGGACATCTGCGATACTTTCAACAATAAAGATAATTTTTTTTTTAAATCTCAGTTCAGGAACACTTGAGATCTGCTCCTGGACTCAAATAAACTCTCATAAAAATTCTGAAAATATCCCTGGCCAGTTTGGCTCAGCGGTTAGAGCGTCAGCCTGCGGTCCAGAGAGACCCCGCTAAGGGTATGTGCTTCGGTTGCGGTTTGTCCCCGGCCCTGGTTGGGTTGTGTGGGTGGCGACCACTCGATGTGTCCCTTTCACGTCGATGTTTCTCTCTCTCTCTTTTCCTCTCTCTCCCTCCCACTCTATCTGAACAAAATATCAAAAAATGTCCTCGGGTGAGGATAAAACAAACAAACAAACAAAAAAATTCTAAAAATAAAAATATCAGTTCAATAAAGTATCTGCTTTCAAGGGGGGAAATGTACCTGCCAAAAGGATTAAAAGGGCCCTCCTACAAACAAACAAACAAAAAAACCAGAATGACAAAATAAAGCTATTTTAGATTCTTCAAATTTGAAACCTTTCTAAACTAGATGATTAGAATGCTAACACGTTAAATGGAGTTGTGTCTTATTTAAGGTTTAGAGTCAGAAATTGATAACGTGCAAAAGTACTCTTGGAAATCCTTTTGGAAGCCAGTACATCAGAGTTCAACAGTTTAATTAGAGAACTGGATTATATCAGAGACTTGTTTTAAAAGCTGTGTTGTCTTTTAGAGCATATACTTCCACTTTGAACTCTAGAATCACTCTTTTCATAAAGACACTCATACGATGAGACATATATGAACTGATGATCAACTGAAAAACCAGAAAATTCACACCACCCTTGTAATGTTCACTCCAGGATATGTGCTCATTGCAAATCAGGCAGAATTGTCTATACTGTTTAAAAAGTAAATAGCATTTTTCTTTCTTTTATTGCTGAGCTTATAATCTATAGTTGAATTTTTGATAGTTAAGTTCATAAAGATACAACTCCATGGTATATGATTTTGTATTTATGTTAAAGTTTCTTTTGAATATTTGTCTAATGTTTTTGTCATTCAAATAGGAAAGAGTGATGCTATACTATATAATTTCTTCGTTCTCTACAGATAATGGATTCTGAATTAATGCATAGTATAGTAGGAAGCTATCTTAAACCTCCAGAAAGAGTGTTTGTTCCATCATTTACCCAGAATGATGAGTTATCTCAGAATCACCACTCTGTGAACTTTGAAGTTACCTCTCCTAAAATGCTTCATAGTCCAAATAGCCAAGGTAATATTAATATAAAATCTTACTTAAAATTAGGGGAATGGTACAAAGTATGTTTTGTAAACTTTTCCTTTTATGTGAAAATAATATAATTGTGTTTTTAACTAATCTTAAACTACTAATTTTGATTCTTTTGTTAAAACTTTCTGTAAACTTAGAAGAGTAATTTAATATTTTTATTTTGGCTTCAGTTGTACAATGACATATCACAAGTTTATTATAAAAACATCATTAGAGCCGTGGCCAGCTTGGCTCAGCAGTTAGAGCGTCAGCCTGCGGCCCAGAGAGACCCGGGTTCACTTCCCGCTAAGGGCACATTCCTCAGTTGCAGTTTGTCCCCCGGCGTCATGCGGGTGGCAACCACTCGATGTGTCCCTTTCATGTTGATGTTTCTCTCTCCCTCTCTCTTCCTCTCTCTCTCCCTCCCACTCTTTCTGAACAAAAAATGGAAAAATGTCCTCAGGTGAGGATAAAACAAAAATCATTAGAAAACAGAAAAATTGTTTGAAGAATAAAAGGTCACATTTGGAATCCCTCTAAACTAGATGATTAGAATGCTAGTGAGTTAAGTAGAATTGTGTCTTATTCAAGGATTAAATTCAGAAATAGCATATATCTAAAATTACCTTGAAAATCCCTGAGGAAGCCAGTTTGGAGTAACTATAAAATACAATATTATAACTTTTAAAATTTAAATTTAGGAGGATCTTAAAACTGAATTAGAAAAATATTTATGACTCCAGCCATACCTTATGCAATTTAGAAGATGATGATTGTCACTTTTTTGTTTTTTAATATTTTTTGATAAAGGTTGCCGTTAATAAATAGACTAGCCTTATGGAGTAAAACAACCATGAGAAATAATAATCCAAACCAATGAGCCAGATACCATATAAAGAATAATAAATATAATTTATCTTATTTGTGAAAAAACAAATGATAATCTCTACCACACATCATTCTAATTGGACATAAACTATATGAAAGATAGCCTATAACATTTATTTGTATTCTATTCATCTCTAGTTTTACTTTCCATTTATGAGAAATATGTATTATACACTTTTCTGGCTCACTAACAAAAATATACTGCTAACTTTTTTATTATTAAGTGGTCAAAAATTCTCATTTATAATATCAAGCAAATTTTTTTCAACAGCTCTTACTTTAGCCTTAAAAACTCTTCAGGAAAAGATTCATCGTTTAGAGGTAGAGAGAACACAAGCTGAAGATAACCTGAATATTCTATCCATAGAAGCAGCACAATATAAAAAGGCCTTGGAAGATGAAACAAATGAGAGAAATCTGGTACACCAGGAACTAATAAAGCAGAAAAAAGGTGAGAAAATTTAGTAGTTCTCAGAAACAAGTAGTTACTAAAGTTTACAGTTTGAAAATAATAAGCCTAGGCCCTGGCCAGTCTGAACAGATTTACTTAAATATATTTGTTCTTATTTATACATTCAAATCCTGAATGTATCAGACATTTTGATATTTTCAGGAAGTGGATAGAACTTTGAATTTATTTTTATTATTATATTTATTTTATCTCAGTGTATACATTTTTGAGATTAAAAGAAAAATTAAATTTTAGACAAGTTGTGTTTAGAACATTTTCATCATTTCAACAAAATCCCGTTTAACCTGTACATAATTGGAATACTTTATGGTTTCAGTCAATATGTTTTTAAAATACAAAGCAACACTAGTAATTAAGCAATAAAAGTGAATAAAATTTTTATTTAACTTGCAAGGTTAATTAGATGAAATGGACAGGTAGGTGGAAGTTCTGTGGAAATTATGAAAAAAGACACCTGGACACAGGTTTTAGAAATTTAGAACATAAAGTCTTTATATAATTTTACTTCAAAACGTTTGGACCTCATTTTGTAACACAACACTCTCCCTCAAAAACAAAGTTCAAGTTTGTGTTTCAACTTCTAAGTAGAATGAAGAAATGGGGAGAGATATTTTTCTGGGGTAATTGGACATTTTCTTAAATAATTGGACAAAAGTGGAAAAAAGAGCTGAGGAAAGTAAGAAATTAAAGGATTAAAAAGAGGATTTTACACCTATGAATTTAACTGTGCTATCTGTAGTCGAGCAGAGGAAAATGGGAATAGTAGAATGCATGTGTTTGAGTTTCTTGAAAGAGGAGAGATGTATTGACAGGGAAGAGACTTTGGGTCTTCTATTTTTCCAGTTAGTGTCATTTCCCAGGAACAGCCAGATCTTCATCATCCCATAAATCTCGAACATCTTCTTTCTGATGTATGCTCTCTGGATCTTTAGGGGGAAATAATGTTAAACTAGTTATATATAATTAATGAAATATTCGCAAAAATGTATGTTTATAACTTTGGGAGAGTCGGTACATAAAACTAAAGAAACCTTGCTTAAACTTTTAACTCTTGATCGAATTCATATAATGTGTTTCTTATTGATAACCAAATCTCTGGTCTATGTGATAATCAACTAATTGACTCATAATTACTTTTTCTTTTTCATAGATATAAGTATACAATTAAGCTCAGCTCAGTCTCGTTGTACACTCCTAGAGAAGCAACTTGAATATACAAAGAGAATGGTTCTCAATGTAGAGCGAGAGAAGAACATGATCCTAGAACAACAGGTGAACGTATTTTCTATAAGAAATATAATATAATTTAATGTTTTTGAAGAATATTTAATGTCTGTATGGTGACAGATGGTACTAGACTTATTGAGGTGATCATTTCACAATGTATACAAAGGTAAAATCACTATGTTGTACACCTGAAATTTATATAACATTGTGTGTTAATTATACTGCAGTAAAAAATGTAATATGTAATCTAGATGACACAAGTTAAATACGCAATAAAAGCTGGTAATTTTTCCCTTATGGAAAAAAAAAAGAATATTTAATGTCATGGAAAAATGGTCATATTATAATCTTAAATAAATTAGGATATAAATTTGTTTATAGATTTCCACTTACAGAGTAGGTCATTTGGACCAACCTTTCTATAGAGGAAAACAAGAAAACTACAGAATATTTAAAAAAGAGACAGAATAGACAGAGGAGGAAGAAAAAATACACAAAGGCATTGGAGAATTAACAAGTTGATAAAAGTCACCCATTCAAAATCTGTGCAGACTTAAAATCCAGGGAGATAGGCTTGATATTTTAGGTTCCTTCTGAGGGCATTTCTGAGTCCAGAACAGTCCATTAAGAGGTTAAATAATGCTTTTGACAGCCATCCTTTTGGGGCTAAGGAAATTAAAGTTAAAATCCAGGGCCTGTTTTGCGCTCAATGCTTTGTAAGGGTGAACAGTAGGAGGGAAAACCTTGATTACAACTCTGCTCTTAGGTTATCCAAGTAACTCAGAAAATCTTAGTTCCTGAAATTGTATTCAAGTGATCCTAGATTGCTAATATTCTCAGGTACTTCACATTATTTCTACAAACATTTCTTTGACACAGTGAGAAACTTTCAGAGATAACCTGGGAAAAGGAGATAAGATACTACAGACAAGATATAGCATACTTAATAGACTATATATAAACACTTTCACAAGTTAGCTGCAGCTAGGTACTGGCTCTAACAGACACAATCTTTCAAATAATTATGCTTGCTCCCTGAATGGCGTAGCTCAGTTGGTTGGAGTGTCATCCATGTGGGTTTGATCCCTGGTCAGGGTGCATACAGGAGGCAACCAATCGATGTTACTCCATCACATTGCTGTTTTTCTCTCTCCCGCTTTCTCTCCTCCCTTCCTCTCTCTCTCTCAAAGCAGTAAAAAACTGATTTAATCCTTGGGTGAGGATTAAAATAACAACAATAATAATTATCATGCTTGCTATAATCAAGGAGATAAAGACAGTAGTGAAAGTTTCAGCAGAGCATTGGCAACTATAAAATGGCAGAACAAATTTGAGAAAGAACCAAATAAAACTTATAGAACTGAAAAATGAAATACCTGAAATTTAGAACTCGATGGATCTAACAGCAGATAAGAAGAGATAATTAGTGAACTGGAAGGTGAAACTATCCAGATCAATGAAGAAACAAAATGATAGTGGTTTCAAAAAGAAACTGAGAGGCATAAGTTAGAATGAAAAGGTCAAACTTACGTGTAGTTGGAGGTCCAAAAGGAAAAGGGAGAGGATGGCGTAGAATTTTCCAGTACTGATTAAAAAAAGAATACATCACAGATTCAAGAAGCCCTATAAAACTAAAGCAGGATGAATAAAAAGAAATCTATACCTAGATACCTCAGAATAAAATAAATAATAAAGCAAAAAAAAAATCTTAAAAGCTTCCTAAGGGAAGTGGTGATTACATTCAAAGGACAGTAAAGTGACAGCTGACTTCTAAACGGAAACTCTAAGTCCAGAAGACAGTGGACTGATATAATTACGATATTAAAAGAAAATAACTGCTTGCCTGGCCAGTGTGGCTCAGTGGATTGAGTGTTCTCCCGTGGACTGAGAGGTTCTGGTTTGATCCCTGGTCAGGGCACATGCCCAGGTTGCGGGCTCAAACCCTAGTGGGGGGCAAGCGGAAGGCAGCCAATAGATGTTTCTCTCTCTCTCTCTCTCTCTCTCTCAATCTCTCTCAAAAATTCAATAAAAACATTAAAAAAAGAAAATAACCACCTATCGAGAATCATGCCTGGCAAAAATATCCTTTAGAAATAAAGGTGTAATAATGACATTTTAAGACTAACAAAGACTGAAATAATCTGTTACTAGGAAATCCATCCTAAAGGAAGTACTAAAGGCCATTATTCAAACAGAAGGAAAATTATAAAAGGTCAGAGATTCAGACAGGAATGAAGAGTAATGAAGATGGTAAATATATGGGTAAATGAATATTGTATTAAACAACAACAGTAATGTTTTATGTGGTTTAAATACATATAAAGGATTAAAATTGACGAGAATAGCCTGGCCAGTGTGACTCAGTGGTTGAGCATCGACCCATGCACCAAGTGGTCACCAGTTTGATTCCCGGTTAGGGCATAGGCCCAGGTTGTGGGCCACATCCCCAGTGGAGGGCATGTAGGAGGTGATCAGTCGATGTTCTCTCTTATCGATATTTCTCTCCCTCTCTCCCCCTCTTTCTCTTCCTTTCTTTCTCTAAAATCAATAAAGAAAAAATTTTTAAAAAATAATAAAATTGATGAGAATAATAGCTTATAAATTAGGAAAGGATAAAAGTAGTTTCAAGTGTTCTAAGGTCTTTTTATTATCTTGGAAATGGGTAAAAGTACCAGTCACTACTGGATTTTAAACAGTCAAGTATTTAATAGGTTTTTTCAAGGAACTAGAAGGATTTATTCTAAAACTTATATGGAAAAGCAAGGGTCTAAAAATAGCCAAACTATTCTGAAGAAGAATAAGGTGGGGCCTTGGTCTTCTGTGTATTGAAACAAATTATAATGTCATCAGAATTAACATGATATGTGTATGGATAGACAACAGAATAAAGAAGTAAAATGTAGTCAGAAATAGACCCACTTTTATGGAAACACAATATATGGCAAGGGTACCATTGCAGATCACTGGGGAAAAGATTGACTTCAATAAATGGTTCTGGGAAATTTTATTATCCACGTGAGGGGAAAAGTGAAATTGGATTGCTAGCTTATACCATATACAAAAATCAGTTCCAGATGGATTAAAGGTAGAAACATAAAAGGCAAAATTTTGACATTTTTAGAAGCAAATGCAGAACAGTATCTACATGATCTTGGGACAGAGGGATTTCTTGAACAAGACAAAGTAACAAAGAAAAATGGGCAAAGTTATAAAGAGGCATTTTACAAGAAAAAGAATCACAAATGGATATATATCTATAGAAAAGATGATCAATCTTATTAGTAACCAGTGAAATACAAATTAAAAACACAGTAAGAGCCCTGGCCAGGTGGTTAGAGCATTATCCTGTGCACCAAAAGGTTGCGGGTTAGATTCCCTGTCAGGGCACATACCTAGGTTGTGGGTTCAATCCCCAGTCGAGGCACATACTAGAGGCATCGGATCAATGTTTCTCTCTCTTTCTTTCTCTCTTCCTCTCCCACTCTCCCTCTTCTCTCTCAAATCAATAAAAAAACATGTCCTTGGGTAAGGAGTCAGAAACAAAAACAAAAGCACAGTAAGATACTACTTCACATCTACCAGACTGGAAAAAATTTTAAAGTCTGGCAATTCTGTGTATAAACAAGGATACAGCAACCATGAGAGCAACCACATTATCTTGTAAAGTTTAGCATACACATTCCCAATAACCTAGAAATTCCTATCCTAGCTAAATACTGTAGACTAGAAATTCCTATCCTAGCTAAATACTGTAGACTAGAAATTCCTATCCTAGCTAAATACTGTAGACTAGAAATTCCTATCCTAGCTAAATACTGTAGACTAGAAATTCCTATCCTCGCTAAATACTGTAGACTAGAAATTCCTATCCTCGCTAAATACTGTAGACTAGAAATTCCTATCCTCGCTAAATATTGTAGACGAACAGTTTTTTTAATGTTTTAGTGACATAATTTGCAAATAGTGAAATGTACAGATCTTAAATATACAGTTCAGTGATGATTGATAAGTGCATGATTTGTGTAATCTACAGCCCTGTCAAATGATAGAACATTTTTATCAAAAATTATTTCATATGTCTTCCAAGTTACACCTCTCAACAAGACACCTACTATTCTGACTTATTTTACTTTAGATTGATTTTGCCTGTCCTAGAACTTTATATAAATTGAATTATAGAAAATGTACTCTTTTATATCTCGTTCTTTTTTTTAGCATAAAGTTTTTGAGAGTCATTCATGTTGTTTTATGTATTAGTAGTTCATTCCATTTTATTGCTGTGTAGAATTTCATATATAGATAAGCCACAATTTGATTATCCATTTTCCTGTTGATGGACATTTGGCTTGTTTCCATTTTGGGGATATTATAAATAGAGCTGCTATGACCGTTCTTATACAAATCTTTTATGCATGTTTTAATTTCTCTTGAGTAAATATGTAGTAGTAGAATTGCTGAGCCACAGGGTAGGTATATGTTTAACTTTATAAGAACTTACTAAACTGTTTTCTAGAATATTTTCTTCTAGAAACTTTTTATTTTCATTTTTCTGTTTAGGCCTATAATTGATCTGGAATTAATTTTTGTATAGTAAGTTAAAATGTTCAAGGTGAAAATTTTTACATGGATTTTCATTTGTTTCAGCACTTTGTTAAAAGACTCCTTTCTCCCATTGAATTGTTTGGCACCTTTGTCAACAATCACGTGACTATATAGATAAGGTCTGTTTCTGGAACTCTGTATTATCTACTGTGATTATTATAGATCCTTTGTGCTTGTATTAAAATTTTATAATCAGTGTGGCATTTTCTACAGATAAGTCTTCAGGGATTTTGACTGGAATCTTGTTAAGTCTATACAGGGTTGGACAAAAGTAGGTTTACAGTTGTGAGTACATTAAACAGTTTATTCTTACACTGTTATTTGTTAATTATTGTATTATTTTCTAAATGAACAACTATAAATCTATTTTTGCCCCATCCTGTGTATCATTTGGGGAAAAACTGATGTCTCAAAAATATTGACTCTCCCCAATAAATTCAATAAAAATTTTTAAAAATTTAAAAAATGGTAAAAAAAAAAATTTAAATCTTCAAATTCATGAACATGTTATATTTCTCCATTTATTTCATTCTTTTTTTACTTTTTCTTCACAGTGGTTTGTAGTTTTAATGAGAGATCTTTTGTTAAAATGGATCTCTAAGAATTTTCTCTTTTCCTAGTGCTATTATGAACATTATTGGCTTTTTTTCTATTACTAGTATATAAAAATATAATCGGTTTTAGTGTAACTGTGTATCTTGTGGCCTTGCTATGTTTATTACTTTCAATAGTTATATTTTCTAAGGATTTTCTATGTACATAATCATGTCATCTGTGAAAAAAGAGTTTTATTTCTTCTTTTTCCAACATTTATGTCTTTTATTTCTTTTTCTCACCTTACTGTACTATTACAGCTAATATTATGTTAACTGGAAGTGGTAATGACTTACATCCTTGCTTTGTTTCTGATCTTTGGGGGAAAGCTACTAGTCTTTCACTATTAAGTATGATATTGGCTATAGGTTTTCATAGCTGCCCCTTATAAGTTGTGGAAATTACCTTTTAGTCTTAGTTTGCCAAAAGTTTTTTATTGTGATTTTTTATCATATTTTGTGAATTGCTTTTTCTTCATCTAATGAGAGGGTCGTATGATTTTTCTTCTTTATTCTGTTACCATGGTGATTATGTTATGTTGACTGGTGTGTGTGTGTGTGCGGTTTAGTGGCTTTTTTTTTAATATTGATTTTTAAATATTAACCAACCCCATGTTCCTGATATAGACCCTAATTGATCTTGATATATTATTATTCTACATTGCTTGATTCAATTTGCTAATGTATTTTTTGTGACTATGTCCATGAGGGATCTTGGTTAGTAATGCTCTTTTAATGTCTGGTTTTGGTGTTATGCTTTTGCTGCCCTCATTAAATTAGATGGAAAAGACCCCTCTTTCTTCTGTTTTCTGAAAGACCTTGTATAGGATTAGTATTATTTCTTCCTTAAGTGTTTGGTAGCATCCATCAAATTTGAATTCTGTCTGGGACTGGAGTTTTCTTCATGAAATGTTTTTAAATTATGAATTCAATTTATTTAACAGATAAATGGCTACTTGGATTTTCTGTTTCCTGTGTCTTTAGTGATATCCTCTCCTTTATTCCTGATATTATTAATTTTGTATTTTTACTTTTAAAAAGTTTTAATTTACTATCACTTTATCAATTTTATTGATTTTTTTCAAAAAACAATTTTTATTTTTAAATTTTATTTTGTTTCATTGATTTCCACTGTATTATTTCCTTTCTTCTACTTATGTAGGGTTTAATTTGCACTTTTTTCCTTAGCTTTATGTGTTGGAAGCTTAGATTATTGATTTTAAAACCTTTTGTTTTTCTTTAAACGATATATTTGCTGAGTAAAGCTACCAATTTTCATCTAAACCATTTCACCTGTATCCCAATAATTTTGGTGTTTTGTATTTTCATTGTTATTCAGCTAAAAATGTTTTCTAACTTCTCTAGTGATTTATTTTAAAATTGTATTGACTTCTCCTCCTCTTCCTGGTCTCCTTTCTCCTCCTTCTTCATTTTAGCTGCTCTAAGTGTTGAAATATATTTTTTTAACTTACCACAGTCTGCCATTAATTACTATTAAAACACTTTACATGTAACGTAAGATCCTTATAACAGTGTGCTTCCACTTATCCCCCTTTGTGCTACAGTTTTCGTACATTTTATTTCTATATATGGCATAAGCCACAATACATTGTTATTGTTTCTGCTTTAAATGTTTAAATTAGGTTCCTGGACCCCATTTCTAAGTGTGTGGGTGGGGAAGGTTTCCCACACCAACCTACAAGGGTGTCCAATAATTCATCTCCACTTGAACACTACCCGAGATAGCATCAGATTCCGTAGGTTAAAGGTTCAGCCCTGCAAGATGTGCTGCCTCTACCCCCAAACTTCAGACTCCAGTCAAAAGTTCAGATTGTTACCGGTACTTCTGACTGACTTGATATAAATTAGAGGTCCCCATGACCCCTTTCTTATGTTCAGTTAATTTGCCTGAATGGCTCTCAGAACTCAGAAAAAACTATACTTATTAGATTACTGATTTATTATAAAAGGATATAACTCAGGAACAGCCAGATGGAAGAGGAGCTGCATAAGGCAAGGCATGGGGGAGAGGCTCCACCACTCTCCCTGGACCTGTGTCTGCTTGTTCATCAACCCAGAAGCTTTTTGAACCTCATCCTTGTAGGTTTTTATGGAAGCATCATTATAGGCATGGCTGATTAAATCATTGACCACTGGTTTTTGATTCAACTTCCAGCCCTTACCTCTTCCTTCCCTGGAAAGGAGACGGGTAGGACTGAAAGTTCTGACCTGTCATCACATGACTGGGTCTCCTGGTGACCAGCCCCATCCTTAGGTGCTTTTCAAAAGTCACCTTAGTAACATAACAAAAGATACCTTTACTACTCCAAACACTGGAAATTCCAAGAGGTTTGGGAACTGTGAGCCAGGAAGTGGGTGAAGACCAAATATTTTATAAATTGCAATATCATAATGATCAGTTATTCTTTAGAGAAAATTAAGAAACAAAAAATATATATATTTACCCACATTTTTTTATCTTTTTCACGGCTTTTATTTGTATAGATTTGATTTTCCATCTGGTATCATTTTTGTTCAGTCTGAAGTACTTCCTTTACAAGTGTACTAGAAATTCTTTTAGCATATATTTGTCAGGAAAAGTCTTTATTTCACCACCATTGATGAAGGCTATTTTCACTGGATATAGAATTCTAGATGGCAGCTTCTTTATTTTTTTGTTTTAGCACATTAAAGATGTTATCTCAATTGTCTTCTGACTTTCATAGTTTTTAATGAGAATTATCTTCATTCTCCTGTGCATAATATGTCGTTTCTCAGGCTGCTGTTAAGATTTTCCCTTTATCATTAGTTTTCAATATTTTGCTAATGATGTACCTAAATACGGTTTTCTTTTATTCTGCTTGAGTTTTCTGTTTGTTTTGAGATTCCTCAATCTGTCAATTAGTATATTTCATCAAAATTGGAACATTTTTAGCCATTATCTTTCAATGAATCACTCTTGTTTGACCTCCCTGTCCTCTCCTTCTGTGACTCCAATTAAATGTTAGACCACGGGTCACATAACTGTTCATTGATTGTTTCTGTATTTTGTTTCTAACAGACTTTATTTTTAGAGCAGTTTTAAATTTATAGACAATTGAATAGATAGTACAGAGTTCTCATATACCCCTCACCCCCTCACAGTTGCCTTTATTATTAACATCTTGCACTACAATAAGTACCACTACAAACAGTACATAGATATGCATATATATGTATAAATTTCCTTTTCTCCATGTTCTCTGAATGCTTTATTCCTCTCATGGCTGCTTTTCTATGTTGCAGAGAAAGAGTAAGTCAATGAGGAGGTTTGGTCACCTGTGTACAACACTCTATTTAATGTAGGTTTCACTGATGATGTTTTTCTTTGTTGAAATGTTATATAAAGATGCACAAAAGTGTTTATTCTGTTGGTGCTAATATAGCATACCTTTTTTTGCACATTTTATTTCTTCTTTAAACATACTTGATTTTCTTGGCTTTTGCTCATAAGTACCTAAAGTAGGTACATGTATGTACATGTTCCTTTTTAATTTGTTTTTTTGTTGTTATTGTTGTTTTTATTTTTATTTTTTAGGGAGAAGGGGACAGAGAGAGAGAGAGAGAGAGAAAGGGAAACATAGATGTGCGAGAGAAACATTGATTGGTTGCCTCTCATACACAGCCTAACTGGGGATCAAACCTACAACCTGACTGGGAATCGAACCCGCCACCTTTCAGTGTACAGTTTGATGCTCCAACCAAGCCACACTGGATAGGGCTGGACATGTTTCTTATGCTAGATTTATGTTGCGCCTAAACTAGGTGCATGTACATACATGTTTCTTACGACAGATTTATATTGCGCTTTGAATTCTGAAAAAATGGATTATTCTTGAGCCACTGGTATAACTTGCCAAATTCTAGGGTTTTTTTTATCCTTTCTAGGCCCAGCTTCAAAGGGAAAAAGAACAAGATCATATGAAGCTGCAAGCAAAACTTGAAAAGCTGGATATCTTAGAAAAAGAATGTTTTAAACTTACAACAACTCAGAAAACTGCTGAGGTAAGCTTCCACTTATTTCTTTGAAGTGCTGATGGCAGGAATAAATCTTTAGTATTAGGCATAATTGGCTCTGTATGTGAATATACAATAAATCTTAGATTTATAAAACTTCATTAACAGCTTTTAGTAATCCAGACATGAATTCCTGCCTATGGAGATGAAAAGTTAATATCTTCTGTCACAGCATGAATGAGCTTGCCTGTTGATGTGAAATTGTAATTTTGGCTTCTTCCGAGATGGCAGAACTTTTTCATTTCAGATAATTTACCTAAAGAATATTGAGAAGATTTTCTCTCACCACTTGCAGTTAAGTTAAGCCTATTCTACATCCCATCCTGAAATGCCCTCTCATTTTTCCACCGAAACCCTGTTTATTCCATAGGACTTGCCCAGGTCCTGCTTCCTCTAGGAAGCTTTCCTTGAGTTCTCCAACATTCAGGAAACTCTTTTTTGAAATGGTACTGCCCTCCTGTTCTGAACCACACCACAGATAGAAGATGAAATACTTACGTGTATAAGTATATACATGGTCTGGGTCAAATCATATTCATTGCTTTGTTGTTCATTTTATGTATGTTACTCTTGATTTCCTACATATAATATATGTTGTTAAGTAACAAGGACCGTATCTTAAATTTATAATGTCTTCCTGTCCTTTCCCTCCTCCTACAACTGTGTCCTTAATGTATGCACATGATAGACATTTATTGTGATTTGTCTGTTTTCAGTGAAACACTGAGACCTAAGACTATAATTATTTGACCTTTTAGACCTTTAATGTGCCCCAAAGTTTCAGCATTATGGTTTTGTTGCTGGCAGTTAATAATGCCCGTGTATGCACATTCTTTGCTTTCCCTTTGTTCTTCTTCTATGTCGTAGCAGGTAAAGGAGCATAGGAAGAAAGCCAAGAAAAACCTTACCGTCTTTTGTCATTCCTTTTTCTTACTTTCTGCTTTAATGTGCCAAACTATTAAGAATCAGGACCCTAAGGACTCTTATTTGGAAAAGGAACAAAGGGTATTTGGCTCTAGTTATTTTATTCTTTTCCAGGACAAGATTAAACATTTAGAGGAAAAACTTAAGGAAGAAGAACACCAGCGAAAGCTATTTCAAGACAAAGCCTCTGAGGTAAATAGAGCACTAAATCATGTACTACAATTGTCCTTTTTTTTCTTTTTATTCCTCACCCAAGGATGTTTTTCTATTTATTATCAGATAAAGTAGGAGGGAGGGAGAGAGAGAGACAGTAAGAAACATGGATGTGATAGAGCCACCTTGACTGGTTGCCTACCACACAACCCAACCAGGGCTGCAACCAAGGTACCGTACGTGCCCTTGACCGGAATCAAACCCAAGACTCACTGGTCCGCAGGCTGATGCTCTAACCACTGAGCAACCAGTCAGGGTTGTAATTTATTTTCTTAACCAAAGCCTCTATTTTAGGCTTTTATTTCAGCTTGTTACTTTTGTCTGTTTTTGGTATAATAATAAAATTCTCAATAAGCTAGTACACTCATATGCCAAGAGGTCTTTGGGTATTTTTAAATTTTGAAAAATATATATCAACTCCTGGTTACAGATTGTTTTCAGTTTGGTTGAGATATATGTATCAGAATTCTTCCTCTTATAAGCAGAAAGTGATTGTAATTACCAGTAGATTTACTGATTTTTACACACACAAATTAGTATTTTGGGTTTTCTTTTTTTGTTTTTTAAGCCTTTTTATCTTTCTAAACTGAGACCCGAAGCTTATTAAAAATCAATTTTATAAAGTTTTGTTTTTAATATTGTAGCTTCAAACTGGACTTGAAATCAATAGAATTTTAATGTCTTCGGTATCAAACCTAAAACAATGTAAGGAAAAGAAGAAATCTTCAAAGGTATGCAAACACTTTATTTTTATTAGCTAATACTTATTTATTGACTCTTTTAATATTTATACTTATCTATTTCCAAAAAGATTTTGAAGAGATTTATAATAAAAGACATGCAATACTGCTATGAAATGGAAATAAAATGTGAATCAAGTGATGATGGTTTGAGGTGTAAGGACAGAAAATTCCATAAAACCTCAACAGCAGTTAAGCACAAAACCTAGCTGAGTTTGCTTGACAATGAAAGCAAAAAGAAGCATATAATGGGCGGTATATCTACCTTTGTGAAATAACAATAAGCATTCCAGTTTTTCTAGAGAGACAAACGTTTTCCTAGTACTAAACTCTTAGAGAAATGTATTTTGTGATACTATATAAAAGAGGCACTTAAACAACAGAGCAGATGCTGTCAACACAATAGATCCTAGAAGCAGTTTTATATAATACATGCATAATAAAAAGAGAAGGCTATAGCCCGACTAGTGTGGCTCAATGGATTGAGTGTTGACTCATGCACTAAGAGGTCGCTGGTTCAATTCCTGGTCAGGGCACATGCCCAGGTTATGGGCCAAATACCCGGTGGGGGGCATGCAGGAGGTGGCCAATTGATGTTCTTTCTCATCGATGTTTCTCTCTTTCTCTCCTTTCCTCTCTCTAAAGTCAATAAAGAAAAAAATTTTTTAAAAAAAGAAATAATGCTTCCCTTTAAAAAAGAATGGCAGGAGCAGTGTTACTGAAGGTTGAATCGTAAGCCATGATGAAAACCTTTCCTATGAGATTTTCATTATTCTCTTAAAAGGTTAGATTGTAATCAACCAGAAATCTCATTCATTCATTGTAGTGACTAGAAGAATTAACTTAAAATTCTTTTGCTCTTAATAATAACTGCTTGAAATAGCCTTAGACCCAACCATTACTTACCATTATTCGAAATTCCTGTTACTAAGGTACAGAGCTTGAATGATTGATTGTAACTGTGAGTGAATAAGAACTAACTCAAAACTATTGTGATTTGCCCTGGCCAGTTTTCTCAGTGGTTAGAGCGTCGGCCTGTGGTCCAGAGAGACCCGGGTTCGGTTCCCGCTAAGGGCACGTACCTCGGTTGCAGTTTGTCCCCGGCCCTGGTTGGGTCGTGCGGGTGGCAACCACTTGATGTGTCCCTTTCACATCGATGTTTCTCTCTCTCTCTCTCTCTCTCTCTCTCGATCTCTCTCTCTCTCTCTCCCTCCCTCCCTCCCTCCCACTCTATCTGAACAAAAAATGGAAAAATGTCCTCGGGTGAGGATAAAAAAAAAAATGTTGTGATTTATCTACCTCTAAGCCATTTTTATTTCTCTAATTCCCTCTCTTTTTTTAATCCTACCCTGAAGATATTTTTCCATCAAATTTTTTTTTTAAGATAGAGTGGGAGGGAGGGAGGGAGAGAGAGAGAGAGAGAGAGAGAGAGAGAGAGATAAAAACATCGATGTGAGAGAGGCACATGGATTGGTTGCCTCCCGCCATGACCCCAACCGGTCTAGGAATTAAACCTGAAACCAAGGTATGTGCCCTTCACCGGAAATCAAACTTGCAACTCATTGGACCTCAGGCTGATGCTCTAACCACTGACCCAAACCAGCCAGGGCTAAATCTCTTTTTTTATGAATGTTTATAATAGTTAAGATATCTAAATTTTCATTTAGAATTGGGAATATTTTTCCTTTTCATTATAGAATATTGTCATTTTGTTGGTTTTGTTGATTATATTCTCTTGCTAAAGTGTTAGCTAAAGTGACCAGTTCACCCCAGTTTTTCTGAGACTTTCCTTGTTTTAGCACTGAAACCCTGTGTTCTGTGAACTCTCTCATCATGGGTAAATTGAAACTAATGGTCACCCTAGTTTAGTCCTTCCAACAAAAATAGTGAAATAATTTAAATTATTTTTAGGAGCTTAAGAATGTAGTTTAGCAATGTGTTTTTTAAAATATTTTATGAAAGAGTATAAATAACAAGAAATGTCTGCTTGAAGGATAACAATAAAATTAACAGTAGTATACTCACTACCCAGCTTAAGAAATAGAATATTACTAGTATATTAAAGCTGTAAACCAAAATTAATTTGACTGTAGAAAAAGCATTTATTTGAGCAAAACAGAGCTGCAGTCTGGGAGACACACATTTAGGTAGCAACCCAGACTGTGTGCCACAGAGACAAAGGGAAGACTGTCTTTTATAGCAAAAGTTCCCACCCACATTCTCAATTAGGCCCATTTTATGTAAATGAAGTATCCAAATCGTGCAGTTCTAATAGGATGGGGCAGGTCTCAGTCTATTGGTAGAAAGAGAAAACCAGATTATTTACTGTTGAATTTTGAGATTTCGTCATGTCATAAATGTTTTTTAAAATATTTTTGTTTACTTTTTCCTTTCTCAAAATTAGAAAACTAAATGTTTAAAAAGAGGACCACCTCAGCAAATTTATTCAAAGTTTGGATCACTGCCTGTTGTGGCTGAGAAGGTAAGAGGGGGAAAATGAAGATACTTGTTCAAAAAAAACTCCTGCTTTGTTGTAAGTTCTATTTGAATACCATCAGTCATTTGAAATTGTTCTCAGCTGTTTCTTTTCTCCGCAAGTCCTCCAGTGCACGCCATTCTGTAAATGCAAGTATTCAAAACCTCCTACAGATGATGCAGCATTGTGGGCCACATATTATTCAGAAACCTGCTGAAGTTCCTGAGCCTAGATGTCTCTACAAGCCTATTAGAACAACTTCCCAGTGTAAAGCTTTATCTCCTGACTCAGAAAAATCTATTTCCATTTGTGACAATTTGTCTGAACTTTTAATGGCAATGCAAGATGAGCTAGACCAAATGAGTATGTAAGTATCTTTATATTTTATCACAAGAAGTAACAAGCTGTTTAGGTATTATATTCCTTCTTAATTTTAAGAACAGTGCCATTTATAAATTCCTAATGGCCTTACTTAGCCATGTGGACTTATTCTGATCTACAGATGTTTTTGTTGTTGTTTACCCTCACTGGAGGATATTTTTAGAGTGGAAAAGAGGGGTAGAGTGAGGGGGCAGAGAGAGAGAAGACAGAAACACATCTATTGGTTGCCTCCTGCACGCACCCCAACCTGGGCCAGGGGGATCAAACTCAGTAACCACTGAGCCACACCAGCCAGGGTGCTCTGCAGATTTTTTTGTCACTGAATTTTTATTGTATTTATTGATACTACTGGATTTAAATTTTCAACTGTGTGTAATTACTACTGTTGCAACCTAAAGCGCTCTGTATTCCTGAGATCTCAACTTACAGTGCAGTATTACCGTCATTCTAACAAATGGGGTCTGGTGATCTTAAATTATAACTCACAAAAGCTTTTATAAGAAAGATTGTTTTGTTTTGTTTTTTATAATCTTTTAATTAAATGAATGATTTCATTAGAAAAGTAGGAATGCAATTTTTTGTTTTAGACTCTGGCTGGTCTGCATTACGAGTTGAAGCATCCATAGCAAACAGGATTCTGTATGGGATACATATTTTTAGCCCCAAGTTTAAATATATATATTTAACAAAATTCCAGAAAATATGTCATTTGGCTGGCCAGCTAATAGAACTAAGACAAATGTAGAAAATGTAACCAGTTCTTTGACAGTATTTCTTTGATTAGACTATCACCTGATCTCGGAAGCTCTCTGGCAAACCCTTCTATAGCTGGGATTCTTTCAGAGATCCTATAGGAATAATTCCAAAGTTGGAACTAAAGAAAATAACTTGAATGCCTCCAGCTAAGGATATCAGAATATTTTGCTACATTTAGCTATGAGCATCAAGAACTAAGACTTTTTTTAAGGTTCTTTAAGACCCTGAGTCTAAGATATTTCTAAATGTATCTAATCTCAAATCATAAGAACCTGTTTGTATTTACTATAGATTTAATTAGATAGCCCTAATTACAGGAAGAGACTGTCTTTGAAGATTAATATTTAACTCTGACTAAAATTTATGATTGAACAGAATATTGTTCAATTATGGCAAAGACATACACAATAAACTATAATAGTGTCTAATATTTGCTTTTCTTTCATAGAGAGCACCAAGAACTACTGAATCAAATGAAAGAAACTGAAAGCCATTCTGTCTGTGAAAACATAGAATATGAACTAGAGCATCTAGTCAAGAAAATGAAAATTAAAGGAGAACAGATTTCCAAACTGATAAAGCATCAAGACAGTGTAAGAAGGCTTTAGTAAAAGATATAAAAAGAAAGTATACCTGAATTCAGTGTTATATCTCTGTATGACCTTCCAATTTTGAGGTCTGTACGTATGACAGTGAAAAGATGATAAACAGGAGTCACTTAGGCCTGTTATAGAGCAGAGGCATCTGTCCCATTGGAATAACATAACTCTCCAAGATAAGATATAAAAAGGGAGAAAGTTTGGCTCTGTATTCAGAAATGTCTTTGGGGAAATTGTGAGGTATGCTGAAATGCTTTGCAGCCTCCCAGTTACCCTTTCAGCGCCGTTCCCCCTGAGTCCCCCTCCTCTAATGGCTTAATGAAGCCCCTGACTTGGACAGGTCTCTAATTCAGTGCCATCTATAAACCTGCTCCTTAAGCGGCACCCAGTCCTGAAACCACCACTTCCACTTCCCGGAACAAACTGTGCTGTGCTGCACTCCCTGAGGACCTGCGCCAGAGCGAGGTGGCAACGGGACTCTATCTTTGCATGTGAATTCTTAATAACTAAGACTGGCGTAACAATTTTAATACTTTACAGAGGAATCGTGGAATATTATAATGTTCTGTCCCGAGACACTGACTTCAGAGGGTGGATCATTAGCACTGTTACACTGCTGGAGCAGAAGGCAGGGGAGTCTTTCCAGGAACCCTCTAGTCACACAGCATAGCCATCTGCCCGTGTGTAATCAGCATTCATATAAGTGGTGATATAGTAACCTCACAGTTAAGCTTTCCCCCGCTTTATAGGACAGTAATAAAGGATGCAGAATTTTACTTCCTTTATTCTTCGATGGCCAGTAAAGAAAGAGGGAAATGAACATTTTGAAACACTTTATTGGCTTTGAAGGCTATAATAAGTAAACATTTTTGTATGATCATGTTGCAATGAACATTATATAACATAAACTTTCTTAGGTGAGATTTGAAAGGAATAGAAAAGTAGTCATTTTTTAAAAATTTAGGCAGTGTGTTTATAAATTATATTATGAAAATAAAACATATATTCCGTAATAGCTATAGCAACATACATTTTCAAGTATTTTATTATGATAAATCTAATGTATGCAGTTAAAATGGTCTTAGATGAATAGGACATCAAGTACTTTGCCTGTGTCTGGATCAGCTCTTCAAATTAGGCCTATGCATAAGTGAAATGGACTAAGTAATAGACTGGACTTGGAAGAAATGGGTTTGGCTAGTTTTGTTTAATTCTGTCTATCCAAACATTACTAGATCCTCCTTAATGAGTTAAGGTTATTTCTTGACTTTGTGATTGTTGTTGTTACTGTCATTCAGTAGGACTTTCAATTCAGGAATACTTTTAAGTAATATATATATATATTTGACTATATAAACTTGATGTTCATTCCTAGCACCAAATCTTTGCTGTTAAAATCACTTTCTCTCTCCTCTCTTTTTTATAGTTTTTACCCATTTCATATCCTCTATAAACCTTTCTCTCAGCTTCTCCAACCTACGTTGATCCTGTCCTACTTTGGCTTTCTCAGATACAGTTTTCATCCTACTACAAGTTATCCTGGCTTGAATTATTCTCTAGCTGTCATGTATATGCTTTTCTTTTTTTAAAACATTTTTTTCATTATTGATTCCAGAGAGAGAGGAAGGGAGAGGTAGAGAAAGATGGAAACATCGATGAGAGAGAACATCGACTGGCTGCCTCCTGCACGCCCCCTACTGGGGATTTGGCCCACAACCTGGGCATGTGCCCTGACCGGGAATTGAACCGGCAACCTCTTGGTGCATGGGTCGATGCTCAACCACTGAGCCACACTGGCCGGGCTGTATACTTTTCTATCACTAATAAGAGCAGTAAACTTCTTGAGAGCAAGGATTGTTTTATTTATTATATTTCTACCTACTAGCACAGTAGTAAACATATATAATAGGTATTCAATAGACAAAAACTTAATGAGCTTTTTAATTTTGGTGTAATCTTCAAACCATCAATCCAGTCTATTGTAGAGTGTAATGTCTTTGACTAAAATGGTAGATTTTTTTCTCTCCAGGTTCGTAAACTGCAGCAGAAAGTTCAGAACTCAAAGATGAGTGGAGCTTCCGGTGTTCGAGAAGACAGCAGTCCTACAGGGACGAAGAACGTAAAAGATAGCCCCAGAAAATGTTGGCTGAAGAGCTCTCTTCAGAAGAACGGCAACTCTCATCCAGCACAAGTCCATAATCTTCAAATGAAATTGAGAAGAGATGATATCATGTGGGAACAGTAACAGTATAGAAAAACTGGCGATGAGATCTTACATTGTTAAAGTGGTTTGAATATATCTTTATGAAATTTCAAATTATGTTTCTAGCCTCTATAAAATGTCAGGCTGTAGTATTTTTTAATTAATGCCCAATGACCTCCTAAGAGTCCCAAAAAATAAATGGTATGTTTTTTTGTTTTTCCTATTGACTGAAATACTAATCTCACTGTATTTTAGAAACATTTTTCACTTTTCGGATATCTTAAGCTAAATCAAAGAAATTATACTGGATTGATGATATTTATAAAATCAAGTTAAATATGAAACACCATTTCAAATGCCATTCCACGTGTTCCTTTAGTAGCCTGAAACCCTAAGAACCAATATAAAACGGACAGATTGTGGAAAGGTCTTTTAACTTTCCCAGTACTTCCTCCCTGTTTTGTTTTAGAGCTGTGAAGTGTTTGTTCTTTTTTGGAAATGGAAAAGTTTTGTGAAGAGGCCTTTAGCCCAAGTTTCTATGACAATTACAAACAAGAACCCATAGTTACTTCATTTTTAGATGACAACTAAATTGCAGCAGCTTTCCTGCACTATTCATTTCTCCTTTACAGATCCACTTTTATAACTACAACTTCTGGGGGCTTTTAGTTTTTGCATTATATATAATATTCATACATATAAATTGAGAGTGTGAATATCCGGGACCCACAAGCTGGCATATTTTTTATGGAAGATATAAGAAGAAATTGGACATTTCATTACCTCATCCAGCAAAAATTGGGGGAAATTTGGTGCATTCTTGTTTTTTATATTTTTAAGTCAGTGCTGTAGGATTTCTGTGTGTGTTTATTACACATTTACATTTGTTGACCTATCTTTCCAGAAGCCTCTGGAAATGTATAACTTTCTGAACTTTGTTGGTTTCTGCCTGAAATCCCTTGGGACGACTAGAGAATTGGAGTCATTAACTGAAGTAAAAATAGAAGATGGACAGAAAAGGCAGGCCAGAAGGGAGGAACTCAGAAAATAGGGTAACAGTGTGAGAAATGATGATTCGAAAGAGAGAATTGGAGGTACATCTTTATTGAACCCATAGCGGGGGGAGTGTTTAAGCTATAGGTGTGAAAGAATTTTTTGGTCAGGATCTTAGGGAGCTAGGAAAAGCAATTTTAAAAGGTAGTCTTTCTGTCCTCCTAGGGGATTCCCAAAACGTGTGTGTAGGCGCAGGGGCTGATGCGCTCTTTCTGGGGAGCACTGCAAAAGACCTGTCCCGCCCCAGGTGGGGAGATGGCTGGGAATGGGCAGGTTGATACTTGGAATTGTCCTCGAAAATAACTGGTGGCAGAGATAAAAGTTTCTCTCCCTCTGGTTTAAATGAGTACATGTGTCCTTCACCCCGTTTCACGCCCTCTCCCTCTGTCGGCTCCGTCAGCCCCAGAGATGTCCCACCGAGTACGTGATCTAAACTCAGTTTAGTTACCTTACCTGTTTTTCTCCTTTGCCTTTCATTCTCCATAATGTGAGTTTTGTAGTTTATATTTAGAAAAAACAAAAAACAAAACCCACCAGGACCATAATGTAGCCCTATTTTTCTGTGCACTTAAGAAGGTGGCTGAATATTTTTAGTTTATCAGTAGTGAAGTCATCACTGTGGAAATGTATTTCTAAAGCAAAACACCATAAAAATATTTAAAGTCATTTTAAAGTATGCTTGCCCGGTTGGTGTAACTCAGTGGATTGAGCATCATCCCTTGGACTGAGAGGTTCTGGGTTTGATCCCTGGTCAGGACACATGCCCGGGTTTCCTGCTCCATCCCCAGTAGGGTTTGTGTAGGAGGGAGCCAGTTGATGTCTTTCTCTCTGTCACATTGATGTTTCTATCTCCCTTTCTCTCTAAAAAATCAATAAAAACATTTTTTAAAAAAAGAATTGTTGAATATTTCTCTCTAGAATTTTCTTGGAAAATCAGTATAGTGTGGTAGAAAAATCAGGATTTCAGAATTAGGAGACTTGGGTTCAAATTGTGACTCCACCATTTCATAGCTTGAACATCAAATACATTTTTGGAGTTTCTGTTTCTCTTTTGTAAAGTGGGGATTATGTTACTGTCTATCTCACAGGGTTATTGTGAGGAGTAAATGAAACAACATGTTAAAGCACCCAGCAAAAAGGCACTGCGAAACTCGGCCAATGTTACATCTGAGAGGGGGAAACAATGTCAAGAATCTAAGTTTACATGGCTTAAAGCCTGAAAGCAAGCGCTGAAATGTAGTCTTTGTAAACGTGGGGATATTCTAATGTACTTGGTTTTTAGTTTTTAGTGCACTTGAGTTTTTTGGGGGGGTGGGGGGAGGGCATGGTTTTTTTGTTTGTTTGTTTCTTTTGTTTTGTTCTCTTTCTATGTACCTGGAAGGAAATTGCTTTTGCTTGGTCCCTAGCTCAGGTTTCTAGTAGGAAGAGGTAAAGAATACAGTCCTACCTTGGTGCAGAAATGCATAATCACAGCAACTTGGTTTGCAGTCTGTTTTGGTTGCTTGGGTGACATTTCTTACTGAGAGACAATAAAGAATAATCTCCTGTTCCTCCATCACACCTACTGGACTAAAAATGTGTCTCAGCTCACAGACTGCTGCTTGCCAGCGCCTTTGACTCCTCAGGGGTGGAGCAAACCATTTCCTTCCTGGACTGGGACAATCTGTGGTCAGTGCACTCGAGTTGCTGTAGCAACCCTGCAGCTGTGCTCTGCCTAGCAGAAACTGCAGGATATCGATTGTGTTCGCTTAAGTGGAAAACAGGTTTGCTTGTTTTTTATTTATCAGAATTGAGATAGTATAACTGGAACTTTCTAGCCAAGACAGGTCTCAACTTTGATGAAACTGTGAAACTAGAAGGTTCCAGGTGTTTAAACAGCAGGTGGAATGAGCATTCTAATCCTGGAAATAGGAGTTGGAATCTTGGATGTGTTTGGGTCATTGGCATCCCAGCCAATTTTATTAGGTTGTAGCTAAAGTTGGGAGAGTTGAAGGGAAATGCTCAGTTTTCAGCAGAGTAAGATTAAAGGAGGAAATAATATAGTGAGCTAGCTGGCTGGGATGGGGTAGTTCAAAATTATTTTTGAGCTTTTTGTATAACTTTTAGAAATACAATTTAAACTGTAAAGTATCCTATTTTTTATAAGACATGAAAAATTAAATACATTTGATTTGTGAGAAATCAAACTAAGAAGAAAAGGTTGATTGGTCATGCACCATGGAAGGAGTGTGCGCCATGGCCCAAACGCACCAGCTGCCATGGTTGGTGTAGAGTAAATAGTGAAACTCCTAATGGGTTTTCCTGGAACTCTGCTCAGGTGTAACTGACACTGTACCTACTGTGAACATATAACTATATATGAGGTTTAGATAAGTACAACTGACCCCCAGATGTACAACAAGACAAGCCTCTCTAAGACATAATAGCATCTGTGAGATTAAAAAAAAAACTCTTTATGGGTGCCATGGTACCTTTTAATTAAAGCAAAGTGAGGCTAAATAAAAATAATATTGACTGTCACTGATCTGAAAATAAATGTACTTCTTGGTAATTAAATAGGCCTTGCCCATGCCTCAGCGATTATCTTAGTAACCTATATACCTATTTTCGTGTACCTTTCCTCCTTTAATTTCTTTCTTGAGCTTTTTCTCTTTATGTAAAGTGAATTAAACATAAAATTATAAAGTTAGTTTTAAAATATTGTCTAGGCCAGAGGTTATTTCTATTATACCTATAAATTGTTTACTTAAAGAATTAGGTGGCCCTGGCCAGTGTTGCTCAGTGATTACAGTGTCAGCCCACACACTGGAGGGTCTTGGGTTTGATTCTCAGTCAAGGGCACATACCTGGCTTGCAGATTCGAACCTCCACCCTGTCAGGGCTCATGCAGGAGGCAACCAATTGATGGCTCTCTCACATTGATGTTTCTCTCTCTCTTCCTCTTTTTCTTTTCCTCTCAAAATCAATGGAAAATCTTTGGATGAGAATGAACAAAAATAAAAAATAAAAGAATTGGGTGGATTTTGTTTTCCTGGTGGGGTTTTAGGAGTGTTCTCCTTATCGGTATGGAGCCATTGAATTTTTATTTGGTGAAAGATCCTACTAGATGTCATAGGCAATCAGAATTATAAATGCACATACTCCCCCAACTGAAGAGGCTTATTTTTTACAATATGTGTATATTCCATTATATACCCATGTGTTGAGCAGTTTTAGTAGAAACCAGTAGAAAATCACATTTATCTCTTGTTACTTTATGCTCTGAGGCAGTTTTCTGACAACATAAGATTTGTTAAGACCAGTTCAACAGTATATAATGTTGGGAGGCTAGGTCTAGGGGTTGGCAGTTGGAGGAGGGATGTTAGACCTTACGAATTATCAAAGGAAGGTAAAAAGTTATATGAGTAATATAATCAGTTTGCTAGAATTATTTAAAATAAGGGTGAAGTTATGGATTATATTCTCTGCCTAGATTTTTTTCCCCTAGATTTTGCTCATCCAGCTTTTCCTCATTATTTAGATCTCCATGAGTTGCTTCCTCTAAGAAGCCCTCTTTAAGCCTCCCCTTCACAACCTTGCCTTCTCCCAAATCTGACTTAGCCGCTGCTTCTAAGTATTGCTACCGTCTTTGTTTAACAAGCTTTCTTGTTATTGTTTGTCTTCCCCATAGACTGACAGCTCCCTAAGAACAAGATTCTTTCTTGCTCACCACTGTAGCCCAGCACCTTGCACAATACCTGGCCCATAAGTAGCCTCGCCATAAGAATTTGGTAGTTTATTTAATGAAAATGTATTAACCTTATTTTGTGGTCTCCTCTAAGCGAGCATATTGGATCAGGTAGTGCTGTTTCAGGCACCAGTTCAACTACTGTTTCACCTTTCAAGGATATGTGGTCATATTTTACATAGCTCCTGGTTAAGATTGTGCCAGTATTTTACTGTTTGTTTATTTGGGGCACAAACAATGGGCACTCAAATGATGCTTTCTTTGATATCATCAAGAGGAAGAGGTTTGAAAGCCAAGGGAGTTATTAGTGATTTCTTTTTTTTTATCTTCACCCGAGGACATTTTTCGATATTTTGTTCAGATAGAGTGGGAGGGAGAGAGAGAGAAATATCGACGTGAA